TGCTACCAGGAACCGCGATGGTAAGTTTCAGATGAGATTTCTGTGTTATATGCCAAATTAGTGATATCTCAACTGTAATCTACAATAAATAGCTAGCCTCGACCGAGTACCGCTTTGTGAAATTAACACAATTGGTCTACTCCTGGAATACTCGAGGCACTCAAGCTGTACTCGACCTAGAGATTGTGCAACCCAATCGCAACTTGGAACCATTATGTGTACGCCATGGGATTAGATTAGCAGCAGCAGTAGTAGTAGTAGTAGTAGTAGTAGTAGTAGTAGTAGTAGTAGTAGTAGTAGTTTGGAAATAGCCCCGGGACATATGTTTGCATTGCCAGTTCCATAATTTCCGCATTCTCATATGCTTAGGTTTCAACTAAAAAATATACACATCGGACGAAAAACACAAATTTGGGAAATTTGTAACGTGAACGTTTGGTTTATGCACACACATTTTGACGAAATATAATAACAATCTGTTTCCTATTGTTTACCATCCGGTAGAGATAGGGTACAGTGTAATTCTCACAATTGCGAGAGGGTAGATGCCGAAAGGAGGAGTAGGTGTAGACGGATTGGAACAGTGAGTAGATCAATCACCATGCAGTGGATGAAGAGGGTCGTCTAGTTACTCCTTGGCAAAGTTAATACAAGAGTTAGATAACCGATAATAAGTTATGTGATAAATGAATTAGACGAAATCAGGGATATTCGACTGACTATCACCAAACCACGATGAATGGTTTTGAACTCGTGTTTAATAGGCACTACAGGGGAGTAATCGATGAAAATAGTGAAAATGCATGGGTGAATGAAAGAGAACAAAACTGAATGTGGGGTTCGAAATTGTCTGAGTTTCTGTAGCTGAAAAGAAAGTAGTCTCAGTTTCCGTCTACAATTATGAATGTCTGTGGTGAGTGCTACTGACGCCACTCAGGCACTTAGAAAATGTCACTCTAGACAGTGGGTTACAGTTAAAAGTAGCAGAATCTATTGAAAATGACGAGCGGTAAAAACTGAACATGGGTTCTAGGCATTTGGATGAATTAAGATTGAAACTAGGTTGATTGGAAAACCGTTAGATTCTGGAAAGACTTTCAGTAAAGAAATCAAACTCCTGGAGAGACGGAAATTCCATTAGGCTTATTCGACCGCCTTTCTAAGTAGCAAACAAGATGGACAGATAAGTTCACAGTGTGCTGCTTCTATAGATTTACAAAGATACTCTGGACCAAAGGTGTATTAGAAATTGGCAGATGATCAGGCTGTGATAATCTAATATCTAATCACTGATCACTTTACTCAGGATGTGATCTTAAACTATCAAAATACTTTATATGTATATTTGATGTTTCACGCTCATTCAAACCAATTGAACTCTCCCGTGTTGACGGTTATGCCATGTGTAGAGTGAACAGTGAGACCTCTGTCCTTGCTTGTTGATATATCTGCATCTCCCGAGCATCGTTAGATTCTTCTTTGAATACCAGTGTGTTTCCCCCGTCATTTTTGATTACTTCACTGTCATTTGTTTCTTTATTTCCTCTAATATTGTTTTATTCTTCCCTGTCACTGTTTAGCGATCACTGACCGTGCCTCACCTCTTTCCATGACCTCTTCAATCAAAAAACTTTGTAATTTTGACATTTATTCTGCTGTGAACTTTTGTACTCTTGAGATCCTTCTTGACCATTTACATTCTCGTCATTCTGAGATATCTACCTGTCATTCCTATACTTCGATCAGATGCAGTTTGTGGCCCATTTCCAATTGGATCACGATAAGTAAAAAGAAAACTGCATTCGACTCGTACGCTCACCCATATAGACAAAAGCATTACTGGGTTGTGAATAAACCACTTCGGGTGAATGGAGATTTTTAACGTCTTCATATATAATAATAGTACAACAATCCTAACACGTCAGAACACAACATCTACGTGGTATAGAAATGGTATCGTATGATACTAATTATATAATGCTTATAAAAATATGATATCCGGTTACTGATCTAAATATAATATACAGGTATTCATGATCAATCAAAAAAAACCAATCATATTACTCGATCTACTTGGATTTAACCTGAAATTCTTCAAATGAACAAGTTGATCAAATTAATCGTCTGGGCAATTGTGCTTGTTAGTCCATAAAGTTTGGCAGAAAAAACGTCCAATGATTACTGACCAAGAAACAGAGTTAAATGTTTTCCCAAATTCTTTTTTTTTCTTCAAAGACAAAAATAATTTATTTTTTACACTCTTGGTGTCACGGTTCAGGGAAGCTTTCACTGTATTTTACACGGTAACGAGAGTTATTTCAACCACAATCTTGGAACCAGACCGATTATGACTTTAGATCCGAACATTATACTGTACTATTGTGATCTTTTCAGCATCTGAAATACTTCTCAATCAGTATAAAACAGGCATGCACCCTGGCTTACTTGCCTAACTCCAACGAACGGCACGTTAATTGCTCTCGCAAAGCACGAGAATAAGCCACCATGCGTTTCGTTATTTCAAACGAATGTTTCTGATGAGTGATGATGAAGTGTTCAGAAATTGGACCATCAATTTTCAGATGTCGAAAAAGTCTTTCCTTAAAAACCTCTAACTGGATCTCTTTACTGTTTGAGGTTTAGTCAGACCGTTTCACATCCTCGTTCTCATCAAACATTTCCATTTTTGAACAGACAAGTCAGAAGACAAACACTGCGAGAGAAATTCCTTTCGCTTCATTTGTCTATCTTGTGCGATGTTATACGTACGCGACCGATGAGAGTATACGAAAGGAATTCCTCTCGCAGTGTTTGTCTTCTGACTTGCCTGTTCGAGTTCATTACGGGATCGAAATGTTTCAATTTCCATTTTTGATTGTTTCTCTAGTTCACCTGCGTTTCTCATTTAAACAAAATTTCTCCTTTAATCCGTTGGAGACAAAACACTGATATGATCATTGTATTTCAGTATGTGAAAACCTTTTCTTTCTTTTTACTTTCTCTTACTGAACATATAAATATTCAATTTTCAAGAAAGGAGAAGCGGCCAATCAAAAGGCTGCCATTCAACACACACTGGGGGAATTCAAGCGGTGGTGATGGGCTTCGAATGCATCCCCGGGGTGATGGTTTTATGACGTTACCACCGGGCTAACACCGCCCAAAACTTCTCTAGGGTTGAAGTGTGCGAGTATTCATTTTGGTTAAAATGCAGATATCACTGCTCCAAATGAGTACCTACCCCACTCTAGCTAGGGAGGTATTAGATGAATTAGATAAATTTTTTTATTTGGGTAGCTTTATCTCACCTAGCGGACGCGTTACAGATTAAGTGTCGGCTCGTATACAGAGGGCTTGGTTGACACTTGCTAACTTAAGACATCTGCGACGCCGTCGCGACATCCGGCTGTCTGTGAATGGTCAATGTTTGAGCACCGCTGTCTACATCGCATTGCACGAGTCTGGGGAAAAACCGGAAAAGCTGTGCTGCAGTAAGAAGCAGAGTGTTAGGTGATTTTGGTCCTCCACTGGAATACGAAGGTTGGGACTTGTGTTGCACATGTCACCAAATAGGTTGCCTTCACCCGTGATGTTTGCTGAGGCTGGCGGCGGATGGTCAAGGGCGGTCAAAATTAGACCTAACATGAGGATATACAAACCCTAACCAGCATACTGGGTCACATAAGTACCGCTGTGCTCCCCAAATGCGGGCCTCGAGATCATGTAAATCGGTGGTTTGAGACAGTGTGTGACATAACTGTCCTGTTAATATCCCAAGCTTCATTCCGCACTTTTATCCTAATAGATAGTCAAAAGCAGTAACCAAAACCGGTTCATGAAAATACATGATTAATGGTTGAAAACAAACTTAAAATAGATCAGTTGACTAAGTATTCGAAACTTCCCTGCATGCTTTACGCTAAAGGCCGTATAATCCAAACATTTGACAAACGTATGTGCTGCTTTACATCACCACAACTGGGTTAATACACCAGAATTAAAGAAAATGATTGACTTTTAACCTTTTGATAAAATTAAGAACATTCTTAGGGATGAAGTGCGCCCCAACAATTTTTTTTCAGTTTTAGTTCAGACCTCATTAGTAAAATTATGGCCAACTTCACACAGCATACACTCCGTGAAATACACTGTCATGCCGGACCATGGCCACCCGGGTGATCACTGAGTGTTGCTTTCACTTTCCCCCGCTCACTCACCCACACTCGTTTCCCTCTATTTGAGTTTGGCATGTTTCCACCACATCTTATTTCAACTTGTTTAAACATTTGTTTACTCATTGGCGGTGTTCCCGGTATTTTGTTCGGACACCGTCTACAGATCGGTCAGCCTGCTGATAATTTCATTTTAAAATTCCATTTCACGTTTTGACATTTTTTTCCAATTTTAACGTTTTACCGTAGGCTGAAAAACATCTATTTTTAGGTTGTTTTCTGCATCCCGTATAAATCTATATATTTATAATTTCTGTTTTTTGTATATTTATTTTAAACATTCTTCATAGAACTAAGCATTTAAATCTTATTCATAACCTAATCTATGTTTTGGAGATAATTATCATCTTTTCAGCCGGTTACATTCCACCCTACAACTATTGCTCTAAGTTTCTCAAATCCGAACTGTAGAGGTGGATCAACAGCGGGCTTATGATATTTTTTCTTCCATTGCTAAAAGCGTGATCCTATGATGCTCCGAACATTGGCGAATTTGTTTGCTACGATAAGCTGCTTTTAACCATACCCCGGGATTTCATGATCAAAATTAGTTTCATATTTATAAACACAACGGTCAACAACTCCTAGCAAGTGTTGAAGAATGTAGTTTTTGGTCGTGTGGAAATGTCAGGACGAGGAGTGGATCCATATAGGCAATTTTTCGCCGACCCAATTGCGGTGGTTGATGCCATATCCAACATGAGCGAAAGGGTTTACTTCTAACATTACCAGCCTTGTGATACCCATTGTTGTTAATCCTGTTTTAACTTAGTCACCCTTCATTGGTTCCAACGATTTCGCTGCAGGAGTGCCAACTTCATACAAGTAAACTGGGGAATCCAAAGGGGCGATGCCTAACATTTAGGTTATCATAGATAGCCTGCAGGTCGATCAATATACTCATAAACACTTATGTTTGTGAACCCGTCGCAGACAAACACATGAAGAAGACGTGTGCTATTACCATCGTCGTTTCAAAGACCACGCGCGTAGGTGTGGGATCACATGCTTGTTTACCAAGAAAAACTGGAAATATCCACTCTATATGTCACCGTTAATACCTTCATCAACTTTCTCAGCCCTTTTCGTCCCATATACAAATTTACTGATAGCATATATTGATGGCAAACATGGTGCCAATGCCACAATAATAATGATGAAAAAAGGTGAGAATCAGGTACAAAAGAAAGTGACTTGGAAAAGTCAAATGTAACAAAAAGGACAAGAATGACAATGATATTTTTAGCCGTACGCTTTCATATTTTGGTCCATTTGATATTCGTATTTACCGGGCATAAAATTTCAACAGACAGATTACATAATAATTTTGCCACCAATTTATTTTCAGCAGCATACGTTTCAGAGTCTCTGACCAGCAACAATCCACATTCCTCAGAACCCAACCAGGGGTCCGGGTCGCAACAACAAAAGCCAATGCTCAAGCTAACTTCTCCATTTTCCTACACCAGGTAGTAGTCCGATAAACGCGACGCTTCTTCCATCCTCGTCCAGCAAAAAGAACAGGGAAAGTGGATCGTGGGCAAGTAACTTAAAAACGCGACTTAACCATTGAAGACCATCAGACATGAAACCATTCAGTAGACTACTCGGAGCCTTCCATGTTTAAGCAGCTCCAAAGATTCAACAGTCCAGTCATTTCTGTTGTCGTTTAATTCCTAAGTGAGCGCATTTCATGTGGCATTACACTAGCTTGTTAAGGCAAGATTGCTCAAGAAAGCTCTTTGAGATATCTTCAGTTCATCTAAACTAACAGTTTGCGACGCACCTGAATAAAATGGATGCTGTTCAACGATACATTCAACCACCAACAAGTGCAACATGATTGGAAAGTAATGGTTTACTTTCCAAACATTTTTCATCTTCTACCGCGCACTTTTGGCTGTCTACTTCAGGGTTCGTCAATTCTACAGTCCCCTAGAATGATAAGAACTCAAGGTCTTCTGAGATCACTGTCCTATCATGAAGGCCAATAAGTGTACTATAGACCAGTATATTTAATATCACACAATTTACATTCAGCATTTGAAACATTTCTGGTGTCGACAAATCTTGAGAGGAGGTCCGCTATTGTAGCCACTACCTGAGAAGCAGATACTTTGAAACCATGAAATTACTGGAATAGCTAGGGTACTCTTTTGTATAAAGGCGCATGGAGGCGCGTCATTTTTGGTCGCTATTTCGGTGCATCTTTGCTAGCATTAAAGTATGCATAACAGATACACTAATAAGCGAATAAAGTTTATATATGAGTGGGGATTTAAACTATAACTACTACCTACTTAAATGAAAAAATTTATCGCACGCTTTTCTCATGTAAGAAAATATCTTGTACAATAATCTCACTAGAATTTGTCAAACTCTACCCGAGGAGAAAGTTTAGGTCAACTAAAACATTTCCGTGTACCAAATTACGTATCCTGAATTCTCACTAATGCCGATTTAGCATACCAAATTTGGTTTATTGAATATATATTTAATATACCAAATTATTTTGATATATTCAACATATACTCAATATCCCAACTGAATACATTCAGTTGGGTATATTTTATCCTTCATCTAACTTGAACCTTAGAATACCGTAAAAGATAAAACACATAGGTTCACCTTGAACTAAATCACTCATAAATACAATAATATGATACAAAACATTTTCTTTAAATTCGCACTCACCAGCTCTTCCGTCTAGCTCGGATAAATTCTTATCACGCTCGAGTACTTTATCCACATTCACACGCATGATGTCCACAACTTCATTTACTTGAGCCTGGGTCTGCTGCAATCTCTTGTTTGGAACAATAGGTGCCTTCTCGGACATTTTCACATCTGATGGAAAGTTTGTAATGTGCGAACGTTTTCTTACTTAATGTACTTTTCCAATTTGGAAAATTAAAACAAAATAAATTAGATATCCCTACAGGGTCAGATAAGGTCAGGCCGGTTGGACAGGACCGATTCTTGCCACAATCAATCAAATGTCTAGATTGATTCCGGGCAGTAGGCTCACACAACATCACTCACCTTTGTGAATTGTCTCCAGTTGACGTCCTTACTGGATAACAAAGGACAAAACTTGTCCCCTTTCACCTCTTCGGCAACGAAGAGACATGTATCATGAAGGCTCTCCATACTACATTTGAAATCTTATTCTGGAAAGAGCTCCATCTTACGCAATTTCAGAGCGTCCTTAAAATGCACCCACGCTCTGTCAACACGCCGGAGCATTTTTCGCTTCCAAAACGATCCCACTTTTGCGATTTTCCCCAAAACATCTCTTTTCTACATTTTAGTTGTGCAGAATTATATAATAGATTAGTATATTCTCATTGATGGTATGTGAATGAGTGTTGGAGAACCGTCTACCAAGAAGCGACCTACTCAAGAGTAAGGAGCTAAGAAGTAACTCAAGCACTCCGGCCCCTACGGCTTTATGTTTACAGATTTCGATGTATGCTGGAGATAAGTGTTTTTTGTTAGCTATTTTCGACGAATCCGGCAAGTGCTAATATTTTACGTTAATTCCTCCAGGTGTCAATTGCAAGTTGTAGAGGCAGGGTCAACTCTTTCCGCACAAGGAACTTTCCCATCTTACCAACCTTGTTGTTTTACCGGACCAAGATCATCTCGTTGGTCACGGTACGTTGACTTTCAGTTTCTGCACGCTTACTTACCTGTACGCTTCTCTCTCTGTTCTCCAGCTCATTCTAATCCAACCGTTGTTGGGGTCTCGTGATACCAGTCGTTCTGACTTGGTTCGTTACTCCGTCCGTTACTGGTTGTCCGAAATCGTGTACATCACTGGCATAAAGACTAAATGGGTGAGTTCGACGTGATATTGTTAACTTCTTTACGGTTATCGCGCATTGTAGTTTCGTCATTACCGTTAGATAATTTCACTTGTCTAATCATTTTTTATCACTGGTGTAACCGTAGATTGATTTTTACGACTTTCATTTAGTAAAAATAATAATAATAATAATAACATATTAATAGGTGTATATTTCACGGAGCCCGTGAGACATGCACAAGGCATTATCAAATGTTCAGAGCGAGTATATGTACAATAACAGTGTAAGTACATAGGTAGATAACAAAAATGGTGGGGATCAGAACTAAAACACAGAGTGAAAGGAACACAAACCGGACAAGGTCACCGACGAATTTATGGAGGATGGAGGATGCACTGAAAATGCATGTCACTAGACCTGGAAACAATGGTAAAACTGGTCTCGGAAGGATTCGACGTACGACAACAGTGCGGGGAAACAAGAAGAGGCGTTCGGTGGAACAAATCCTGACTGATGATGGACGCATGAAGACAGAATTAGAAAGGAAGCAGTACAGTCAGTGTTGCTTACGCAGGACCCGTCTCAAACGACTTACGCGTGCGTCAGTATTCATACGTCTGTCAAATTCTACC